CCCCAAAACCCCAAAACCCCAAAACCCCAAAACCCCAAAACCCCAAATTCTTCACAAAACCTTGAATTATAATTTAAAATTTCAAACATAAAATGCGGCAAAGTTCTGAATTTTACCTGAATGCAGCCAGGAAGCAGCAGGACCTGATCTCTGGGCTGAAGAATTCCTCCAGCACTTCCTTGCTCGATAATTTCGGAGGTAACCCACTGGGCTTTATGGGGAAATATTCGTTTAGATAAGATAAAGAAAACATCAGGGAATAATTTCAGCTTTAATAAGAAGAAGGGCAGCCAAGTTGAATTTGCATTACCAAGTTTTGACGAACAGATTGAGCAGATTCATCCTTATAAGAATATTACGAGTAAGTTTACTGAGGGTGAGTGGTGATAAACTTTAGAAGAAGGAAAGCCATTTGAGTATGATTCGAATTATGATACGAAGAAGATCCTTGGTGAAGCAAGATATCGGCTCTCCAACAAGAATAGTTCTAGAGAGGACATTGACCAGTCAGATACCAGTGATGATAACCAGATGGGAACTTTTACTAGTCTTGACCAGCTTAAGTTTATTAACAGTCAAATTAAGGACTCTAAGGATAGGCTAGAAGGTCTTAAATCCAAGCAGGACGAGCTTATGACTGAGATAAAAGAATGGTCGGAAAAATAGAAAATTTGACGAACAAGAGGTACTCTTAACCGCTAAAACATTTAGATTTCTTTTAAGAGACAACTCTCTGACTGTCTGAACGAAAAGGCTGACGTTAAAGAACAACTTGAGCTTAAAGAGCAAGCTTATAATAACCAGCTTGATAAAATGCACCAAGAGTTAGAAAATTTACAACAAATTATTAAGGAAAAACAAGAAAATGAAGATGGTATTCCCTACTCATTAAACCTTGTAGAGCAGGAGATCAGTAAGCTCAAGGAGTCTAGGAAGCTCTTCACGGATAATCTCAAACAGATCAAAGAGGTCTATGGGCAATGCTACGAGCAATTCCAGATGGGCAATGAAGACAAACTTGCCAAGATGATCACTCGAGTAGACCTAGTAGCAGAAATTGAAGAATATGAAGAAATCATCGAAAATATGATTAATTACAAGTACTCACAGTAGCTTACTTATTATAGCTCAAATTATTCCAAAGAGGAGATTGAATTTGTAATGAAGAATATCCAAAATTTGACCCTCCAAGATCTGAAACAATTTGTGCAGAGATACAAACAAAAGCTCATCAGCACAGAAGGTATTACCTTTTAAATGAAAATATAGACGACGAAGAGGACTCTATCATTGAAGAGTTTGGCCAAATGAGAATTTCTATGTTCCTGAAAGACGTATGCAAGAGTTTAAAGAATGAGGTCCAAAAGAACCAAGACCTTGAAGCCTCTCTGCTAAGTGAAGGCGACTTTAAAGCTCAAAATGACATAGTTGACAGACTTGAGGAGCTTGAGGCAATTACTACTGCTCGAATTCCAGTCCTTTCAGATGAAGAAGTGATTCTAAACATCCAACAAATCTGTGACTCTCTGGATATTAAAATAAATCTCTCTGAGCAGACAAAGTGTATTCTTAAAAAATCCAGAAAATGCTTCCTTGCTATTAAGTTTAAGCTATCTGAAATAAAAATTGAAATCGAAAAGACTGAGGAATGCCTCAACAGAAATATCCAGGGCTCTAATATAATCGTATCAAACCAGGAAATTCTAGTTTCAACAATGAGTGATCTCCAAATCTCAAAATTAGAGGTGGAAGGAAGTATCAGAGAAGTTGATGGATCCATCGATGATCATCAGGCCAAGCTCGAGCAGGACTACCTTCTTACAAACAACGGAGTAAGCTTGATAATTTACCTTCAGGATCCTTGACTTTGAATCTCAATGGAGGAACTCCTTCAAAGACTTGAAGACATGAGCATGAAGATTATATCTTTTGAAGAAGAATTCCAAAGTAAGCTCTCCCTCATCCATAGGAGAGAAAGAAGACGATCAGAGAAAAGCAGAGCTAGATGAGCTAGAGCAAGAGCTTAGAGACAAAATTGATCATCTTCAAAAATAAGAAGAAGGACGACCGTATTTACATGCTTGAGAAAGCAAACGAGCTTGATTCCATCCGCCAAGAGATGGAGAAAGAGTATTATAAAAATCTCAACCTGTCAAAGCAGAAGAAGATACTTAAAAGGACAAGTGTTAATAGGCCAAAGGAGTTGAGGCCTGATCTTTTTAAGTCAATTGACCGGAACGAGAGTTACAGGTCCAAGCAAAACCAAAGTTCTATTGATCTAGACACAAAGATTGATATCAGAGGTATTTTAAACATTTTGGACTAAATTTTGCCATTCATCTTATTTTAACAGGTTTTGAACAATTTTCTGCTGGAATTTCCCTCTTTGTCATTATTATTACAATAGTTATGTAACAAGTTTTAGATATTGAGAATACCGACCCAAATATAGAGCAGAAATTTGAAGATTCCTCAGTGAATGTAATTTTTCAATCCCCTGTGATGAAAGAGGATAACCAAAGAAGAGCTAAGCTGAAAGACCCAAGAATAGAATCAAAGGCATTCAAGCTGAAGAATCCTGATAATTATCAGCTCAAGAAAACTGTGCAAAGATCTTTCTCAAAAGGAGGGAGCCGATCCAGCCAAGTCATGAACCCTCTCACTGATTCTTACGACTTACAGATGAATAATTTAGAGAGATATGCATCTGTTGGGAATTTTAATAAGAAGCCTAAAATTAAAAAGAAGAAGATCCGAAATAGCTTCCGTTATATGACATCATCTAATTCTAATAGAGGAGGGAAGAACCTCAAAGATTCTTCTATTAATAGAGTGTTGACTGAAGTAAACTCTGAGTCCCAAATTGGGAAAATACCTTATGGTGATCATCAAAAATCAACAAAAATGCTAATAGATTGTCTAGTAAAACAGCTAAATCCTATCACTGCTTATATCTCAAACCCTAATAGCTCCAAAAACAAAGATATTGAGGAGTCAGAGCGGAGTAGGAATGATGAGGGTTCTATTTTCTTAGATATTCAGGAGAAACGGAAGGGGAGTCACAACTACAACCACCTCACTTGCACATCAAATGTACGAACCCAGAGCAGGCAATATATTAATTTTAACACATAAGCAATTTCTGAGTCTCTACAATTCAATATTTTTCCGTTGCATTGGGGTTTTGGGGTTTTGGGGTTTTGGGGTTTTGGGG